GACCTGCTACAAAAAGATAACTCGATTAAAACTTGCTATTATTTCCTCCTGTTTGTACCGAAGAAAAGTGTTTATAGAGATATCCTGCAGGTCTTGCGCCATTCGTCTTCGAGATAGCTCAGACCTTTTTCCGACTTTACGTTTATTTCTTACATAATGTGCCTAGAATTTCTGTTATTCAGACACCTGCTTTGTAAGCCAATGTACCGCAACCTCAAGGTTTACTTAGACAATTTATTCATATGTCTGGATCATACTTATTTACTTAGCAAATCCTCTTTATACGGATCACACTTTTTATTGGTGTTAAAATGTTTACAGTAGTTTCTCTTTGTTACAGGAAAGATGGGTTTCTGTTGTTACACTACTGTGTACTGTGTAAAAGCAAAGGACAAATATGCAAATGAAAACCTTCCAGTAGGTCGCGTAGAGTCCGGAGCGAAAAGATCTCTGGGATAGTCGATGACCTCCACTTCGCTATAAATTACGTGTTCAATGAAATCACGGCACTTACTAGGGTCGACCTTTTCTGGTTCAATTGTTTTTTTTCTTATTTCCTAAACAAAATCGACCTATTTAAGCGGACGTTTTCTTTCTTCTAAAGTTTTGCTTGATTAAGAGGATTGTAGAACAGATCTATATAAATAAAAATAAAAATGAATTGCTGTTCGTTAGTCTGATTAAAAATTTTGGTTTTAAAATGTTTGTCGTAGTCCAGGGTAGGTCTAAACGATGAGCAAATAAGGAAAAATTGCGATGGCTTATTTATTGCCTTTAAGGCGGAACAGAGTTCGCCGGGTCAGCTAGTCTTGTAATAAAATTATTCATTCCTATTTTGTTTCATAAGTATCAATTTAGAAAAGCTGTCTAGACGACCCAAGATCTAAATCCAAGTTTTAAGCGATAAGAAAATAAAATGAAATCTTATTGCTTTTAACTTGCCTACCTACCTTTAAAATAATCTCGTGTAGCCATAGTTGTGCTATAATAGGCGGAATATTTTTAAAATTTTATCTTGTTCGCGTAGCATTACTAGAGTAATATTGCGTGGGCGTTCAATTCAACATAATTCGTTATGAAAGGATGCTCTTATTCTTATTTCGCTGAAAAACATTGTAATGTAAACTTAAAAGCAAATTAGCTTTGAAAGGAGAGTCTTTGTGTTCATGCAAATGGAAATTCTAGATAAACTTTGCATCGTGAATAATGTTTTTGTCATATTCATTAAGCTTAATATGAACGTAAAATGTGAGAGCGTTAGTCTTGCTAATTTATGTTACAAGTCAAGTCACATGTAGTTTCATAATACTTATACAGCTCCGTTCGTTCGTCGAAATTTCTCTTTACTTAATTATCTGAGTAGGTAATTCTATTTTGAGTCAGATCTAAAAGGAATACCTATTTCGTTTGAGTGTAATAAAATGACAATTTGATAAAGTTTGTCTATGTGTACAGTTCAGCTAAGTGGACAAACAAATTACAGCATCCTATCTACGTCCCGTTTTTTCGGTGTATCCTAAACGTTCGTAGTAAAACAATACCTGCCTATTTCCGAGGGTAGGTTCATAAAACGCGAGAAAAACGGCCCGGAGGTCCGGGGCAGTGGGGGGCGGAGGACACGGTACTAAAGCTCACAAAATACGGTAGAGGCCTGCGACAACGAACGAGTTGCCAAAATTGTTAGACTATTTGTTTTTTATCTGCTGTGTTAAAAAATCTGCCCACAGGCTTTAAAAGGTACAACTGCGCGCACAATAAGATATCAAAGTTGTATATGTATATCCCGACAGTAAATAGGTACTTTGGTATTATGATAACTACGAGTAGAAGCGATAGAGCATGCGAAAATCGTGTCGAATCAAAAAATAAATACAAACAAGTACTGAATACTGAAGTACATTCGTAACACTGAAATAAGCCTTTATATGCTAGCATTATTTGTTACGCTCGATCGTATCTTTCAGTTCATAAGAGCAATATTAATAACCTAACCCTCTACTACCCTATCGTGAATCCTGTGTTTCCCACATCATATCTTATTTAAAGGGCAATTCATACCACAATATCCAATCTTGGCCCTAATATGGCCGATAGTTTTTAGGACCATACAGGCTAGGGTTTTATAGTCGAAGTTAGGACAGATATACGATCTTTTGGACCCATCGCCCAAATCGTATTGAAATATCATTAAAACGTATCGTACCTACTAAACTAATTCTTTCAAAGTTTGCATAGTAGATATACTCGTAAGTATTTGAGTTTTTGAATAAACTCCTGATATTGTTTAGATTTTCAATCAACTATTTAAAGCAATTTCTAAATCTTGTATTGTTTTTAAGGGTCGTTTATTTCTCTGTTTCATAAAGATAAGACCACCTAAATCTTGCCGTTCAATGTTTTTCTATATCTGTATAATATCCCGCACTTGAGACGTTCATCTTTTGAGACTTGTCGAGTTCAAATATAAGTAACGTTGGTTAATAAGGGCCTCAGCTCTAGATTGAGGCGAAGGGTCGGATCGATATTAATAGACGGTCCACAACTTTGACCTTTATTGGATTGAATTATTAAATACATGTTTCGGCGAGGTTATTATTCTAGCGATTGGCTATAAATTAATACAGGCGATAGTCTTTTTTTGGATCAAACTTACGCACGATATACACATTGAATGAATGAGTTTCTTGCGTTGTTTCTTTTTAGAATTGGCCCCCATTTTTGTCACGAAGCAATGATAGGGTTAATGCAAGTACTTTATGTAGAGGCGTGTCATTTGAACATAATTAACATACCTAATAGAATCAAGCATTTTATTATGAAGGAGGTTAAACTACAAAAACCTCCTGTAAAAAAAGAAAATATGGATTTGAAAAAGCAAGGGAACATAAACCTTATAGAACTAATCAAAGCAATTAAACACACGCCAAAACAATCTGGCAACTCCGAGCTCCGGAAACAAGTGTTACCGTGGGGAAGCGTAATCGAGTCAGCCCGGATTCGAACCCGGACCCTCCCGCAACTTAGTCTTAGCGTGGATTCGGGATAATAACATCAAACTGTTAAGTGTGTATGGAGTAGCTGTTAGTGTTGGGCGAAACTTTTACTTCCGGTTTGTCTTCTGATAAAATAGGACATTTTTATTTCACCTTGAAATAACCACAACAAATGAAATGAAATAAAAATAAAGCCTTTAAGAAATTAGTTGATTCGTAATATTTACATGTCATGAAAATAAAATGTTCCTAATTCCTATTCCAGCCCCTGAAATAAAAACTTTGAAAAACGCGTTATATTTTTATACATAATACTTTGATCGTAAACGATAGAGAAAGAATAATAGCAAAGATATTGAAAGAGGTATTAAGTAATATCTGAATAAGAATGGGCTACGTTTTTGTAGCGAACGGGCCCGGACGTGATTCGCATATTACAGGGCCGTATTCGAGCAACCAATATTCCTTATCTGTTTTGCCTTTATTCGTATTAAATAACTGTACAATAAAAGGTAATCGTGAGGTGTGGTCGGTATTTTCAAAGTTATGATGTTCGATCGGAGGCACTAAGATTACCTTTCTTTATTTACTTACATAGTTTTTAATTTCAAAACTACCTACTTTATTACTTATTTCTTGAAATGTTAAAACAGTTTTGTGGGGAAAATCATATGTTAAATAAATAACTGAATAACTTATTTCGTCCAAATGTCATAGAACTTATTTGCATGAGGGATAAAATTAGCTAGGTGTAGATATGCAAATACATATGAATATTTCTCAACTTATTCATATACGGAGAGCAGCAGCTAACACAGCAGAGTACTTATAGTGTTTTGTAGCTGCTTAATTAGCTGGAAAATCATGTATAAATTAATTAAACAATGCAATGCATGCATGCAATTAATATGTTTATCCAATTGTTTAAAGTTATTATGGGATATTATTAATAAGTATTATGAAATTTTGCAAAGGAAATATTCAATTTTGTACATTTAAAGTTATCTAAGACATAATTATGTTCATGTAATGAGGTCATTTTTAATTTGATTAAAAAACATAATTTATTCTCGTCCCTAATTAATAGTTATTCATATCACAGGGGAACAATGCCCGAAGTGCGTCCCTGTGGCCCTTCCAACGACGTGCGGAGTAGCCCGTTATCGCCGCATTGGCACAAAGCCCCAGGTTATTGAGATGTGCTCTCCACAATAATATTCGACCGAGTGAAATATCGCTATTACGTACCACTTTGGCGGTGGCTTCAGTGGTAGCGAGAAGAGAAGGGAGAAGTTAGAGTAGCTGGGCATTCTTCTTCTTCTTATCGTGTCGACAACAAACCTACACCGTGTCAGCCCAAAACTCGGCTACAAGAGTGTCAGCGTTGTCAGCAGCATTCATTAAATCCTCCTGAGTGCAGTTGCTCGTTGGGCTGGGCATTTATTTACGTGGAATTCCATATCGTCAAACTTCTACTACAGATACAGCAAAAAAGTTGTGTATGCTAAATATGTCTTAAACATAATGTTATTCTATCTATATTGACTTGAAAGTGGATGTCAATAGGGACATCTCATTGCATAGTTCTCCGCTATACTCGGGGACCTACGCTGCCAAGTGCCTGGAGTTTGTTTCACGTTATAGCATGTTTCATATGCATGGGCCATCTGCGGCGCTTACGGCCAATCTGAGAGAGTTGTGGACACGATGGTTTTACGATAGTTTTCAACATACTTACTCGTACAAGAATGTTAGAGGATACTTTGTGCTTTCATACGAATTTTAAGCCACAATGCATCATACAAGTAATCGGTAAATCATTCATATTTTATACTATCCTTATAAAAAAATGCTATCCCAAAAAAGGCTTACCTACCCAAACACCGATAATACGCGTACCCATAAATCGCAGATCACTTTCTCCCATATATCCCACTAGTAATGGGGATTTTCCCATAAAACCTTCCTGTCCCATAACTAGAGCGGCATAAACCTCGAATCACTTACCCCTCAAAGTCTATTCAGGCGGCCCCTAACTCGATTCCCGCCAGCCCCATGGTGCTATTGTTCCCCCCTGAGGCTCCGCAAATCCGTACCTGAAATGAAGAAAATTAGGTTAATATCTTGCTAAAGTCTCGATGCCCGATTTTATTCGTTTCGCCATTCAATTCGGTACCATAAGTTATTAATTATATCAATAATCTTTTTTGTAATTAATGGATATTAACAGCTCAATGACTTAGGCTGAGTTGCACCATTTTACTTTAGCTTTAACAAACGTCACAAATCTGTCAATTTCCATACAAAAAACACCGGTTATCGTTTAAGTTACAGTCAAAGTTAGGTGGTGCAACTCAGCCTTAGCAGTAGGTAATTACTTTACTACTACATTATTAGATAGTTGTTCGTGAAATACATGTTGTAGTTAAGTTACTTTGTACTATTCCTTTGAAAATGTAGATCGTATTTCGGAATCAGTTGCATAAATTCATCAAAATTAACATTGTAAATAGGCATGGGATGGGACCTCCCCCATGCTATCTAATCCTTCATAATTAATTTCGGTTTTAATCAAACTTAATACAATTAATATCTTTCAGAATTAGATTTACAACATTTTGTCATTTACGGGCTTTGTAACTAATCAATTGTACGATTTGATACCATAATGTATATGCATACTCTTTGATGTCGGCATTTTAACCAAAAGCTAGATTCATTAGAAAACATTTTCAATTTATAAGAAGAATATAAATTGTCTTGTCTCACATCAGCATGATAGTGTGTAACGCTACATAACTGTTTTGTATGCTTTTTCTTTTAAGTACTGGTAATAAAACTATGAAACATATTATGAGGTTATTAACTTTATAATTAGTGGCAGGTTCTCTACAAATCAAATTGCCTTAACAGTCAACAAAGTGATTTCATAGCTCCTTCATTCTAACAACACTTCTAACGGTCATAGGTAAACGAATGTATCTTCAAGTCGATTGCAATAAAATATTATTTTCGAGCTTCAGTCCAATCTTTGATTTTCTTCTCCATTTCACACCAAAATCAGAGAATAAACAGTCGAACTACCGCGGCCGCTCAAAGGCGTATCACAATTTCCTCCGGCCCAGTGGCTGCCGCGACAAAGGCGTTCCGGTTCGACTCCCAACTCGTTTCTGGAGGAAATGTACCAAACGATTCTTTTCTCTTTGGTGATTTGTTTTTGTACGGCATTTCTGGGAATTGCGAGGTCAAATTCACTATCAGATACCTTTATCTTATGATTTTTGGGACATTCATGCGTCACGGATCACGGCAATAAATCAAACACTTACCTTGTAATAATTAAAGCTTATTTCGTCAACTAAAACCTTACGCTAAGTAAAGATGTCCAAACAGATAACTTCGTTAAGAAAATAAATACTGACTATCCCGGCCAATTACCTCTCGTATGCTTCCATTTGCCTGCGCCAGTCTCACCAGGAGTATCCTATTTCTTCTTAATTCAAGTTTACTGGTGCGTGAGCTATTCGTCGAAGCCTTTCCATTACGTCATCAAAGACAATAGCAGCTTAATTAAGCATGTACCACATTTACGGGCGGGCGCACACGCGCGTCAGTGCAGAATTAGGCCACGACACACGAGACAAGGGTAGTTAGCCGCCTGCAAGTCAGCAGTCCGGGAGATTGCGATTCAGTCTTAGTGGCATGGTAGATGCTCCTGAATAGTTTAGTACCGAACAAGGCAAGACGTCGCAGAGCACTAGTTGGGAGTAGAATTTAGACTAGTTTTGAAGTATCTGAGCGCGTCCTAAAGCCGGTGACTAAAGGCTAAACTAAATAATAAAATCATTGCTTCTAGTCGGTATATTTAAGTAATTGAAAGAATCTAAAAGCTAATGTTTTTATTTAAAACGCAACGTTGGGCGCCAACTTTCTAGACTGGCGCCCAACGTGGTGCTATTCTTCGTTATTATGCTTTAACATGATTGACGTAATAAAAATGTAAACTCACCTATCGTTTTATTGCCCCATTCCCAAGTTTAAACCTATCGTTAGGTTAGGTCGTTATCGTTAGCATCAGGTAAATACAGGTGTCCGAGTAAAAATTGATTCCACTTACGAGCGCAATGTTTGCCCAAATCGATATGTTGTCTATTAGTGTTGATGGGTTGACGATTGTGGTCAATTACACCTTTCAATTCAATTGATGACTGATGAAAAATGATCGGTATCAGTTACCGAATATTTTATGAAATAAATATGCGGCTTTTGTTCATTCACTCTTTATTTGTTTCGATGTAGGTATTTAAAACTAGTAGGTATTATCGAATATTGGGAATATTGCTAAAGGATCAATTTCCAGTACTTTTATTTTTTTATTGTTACTTTGGGTGGTACAAAGCCTATTGTATTGTATCCGTTCGCACAGAATTTTCAAAATATTTTTGTGGCGAGAATCTAGTATTGTGAGCATTATAACGTGAAGCCTGTGGTCGGCCGTGTGTAGCATTCGAATCGAAAAATTCCCGGCACAAAAACCTTTGAATACATCTGCATGCCAATCGCGACGAAACATCCCAATGAATGGGAACAACTAATGGACATAGGGATGGAATACAAATGAAATTGGAGCGGGTGCAGAAGATAATCCAAAACCATGAGTACCGTTGCAAAGAGATTAAAAGTACATCTGTATTATGATTTAGAGAGACCAATGCAAAAGGATGAAAAGGCGATCAAACCCTGAGTTTTATCGAGTTCTTAAAACTCTTGAAACTGACTGAAGTTGGGCCCAATGGCGGTGATTGTTAAAACAAATAACAACTATGATCGATTGTTCAATCAAGAGGCGCGTTCTTAAAGACATTAAATAGAAAACTGGCAACCAACAAACACCTAAAACCGAAACCTAAATGAAATCTAAAAGAGCTCTCAAAATGAAACGCCAGTGGAATCACAGAGCACGATCAAACTATAACAATAACGAGCCACTGACATCTCACCCGTCATCAAGCAGAGCTGTAACTCAACGAGTCCCGGTAAATCCCGGGGACATCTCGTTCCCGACCAATTAGCCGCGTTATCCCGCGATTCCCGCGATAATTCCCCGCTCACCCCCAGGGATGCCCATCGGCTGTATAATGTTTTCCATTAAAGGTTTTAAAAGGGTTTTCTGTATTGAGGAATTAGCACGTAATTTATGTCCTTTATTAGTTGTACGTGGATCGGGTTAATTTTGGTTAATATTTGGGTTTGATTATAATATATCCCTAAGGATAAACAAGCTGTAAATGAAGATACACTCACAGTTACTGGGTTACAAAGAAAAGAGGTTGTTGCTAATTATTAGCTCACGTGTAAACCGCTTGTGACATCCTTTAGTTAATGTTAGCTTAACTTCAGTTTTATATGCATTGGTTAAAATAAATTGTTTTACGAATAGTTCTAAAAGCGAATGCTCCATTTCTCAAGTTTATTCACCGTACCTTTATCTTTATTGGGACCGATTGGGTATGGTATCGTACATCCCTCATCAATCTCGATGCAACTCCGATTTGCATATCAAAGTTTAATTATCCGCCCGTTTGCTGATATGGTCGCCGATTAATGATACGAGCGCTCCGATTGCGAATTGGAGACATACTCGTAAATATATCAGGCGGTACTGACGGATTAGTATACTCAATGGCTATCTAACGTAAGGTTAGTTTCACAGGCTATCGTTTAAGAATGAATTCATTGGCTCTTTTAAATCGATGTCAAATAATCTCAAGATACAGTAGTTTGCAATAGATTTATCATATAGTTGTCTACAAAAATGCCCAAAGACAGTGATTTTAACAGTGTTACCGCACAAAATGCACCTGTCAATTTTTGAACACGAAACACGAAGTAATGTCACTCGCGTACAAGTTACGCTGAAGTTTCGGTAACATCTGCGCTTGACAACCTAAACAAGTTTGGTGGACAACATTTTATTACTTTTTGGAAAAACTAACGAGTTATAAATAAAATATCAAGCAGTTGATTGTCGAATAACTTACTCGCAAACAACGCAAAGTACTCGTAAGTAAAGAACAACCAGGTAATTAATCAACTGAATCTGAAGTAACCTATAAAATTCTATAAAATATAGGTAACTTACGATTAGTTACTTTAGAAATAGAATAAATTATACCGTGTCTTTACAATGCCTGCATGGATACTGAAAATTCAGTCTTCTAGTTTTATCCACAACGATGATACAGGGGGTCGAAAATGGCCTGAATTGCTTCGAGAAAAGGATGGTACGGCCGTGCCGCTTTTTTGCTCGACTTGGTGGGGGCACTGCCGAGCCCCCAGATTTCTTGTGGTTATTTTACCAAACATTTCCCTGTTATTATAGTGCATAATACGAACAGTGTAACGCGTACAGATCAAATCGCATGTAAAACCGAGTTCCCTAAGCTAGATATAACGCTTCCAAGTGATCAAGTACGCGTCAGATAAGTGGAAATAATCGCATCATATTAGGAGTAATCCAAAGAATATTTCGCTCTCGTACATTTTATCTTTTTCCTTAACATTCCTCTTTGCTGGGCTCTACACGTTGCTATCTACATCTCAGATTAAGAAAGGATGTAACGGAAGTGGGAACATGTCGTCCCATCGTACATCTTGAGTTATGGGACCGTATAGGAAAAGAACGTCGAATTATATGGTATACAACGCGACCGTCATTTGGAGTTAGTTCAACTTCCAGAGTCATTCATTTTTTACATGGTGAGTATGTTTATATTATCAACTATTACTTTATTATTTGTTTATAATAAAAAATGGGGAGGGTCTGATCGGGTTCTTTATTTATTTCAATATGGCAATAACTGAGTACTATTTATTCTACGCGCGTGCTCCGACTTACACTCTAAACGTCATTTAACCGTCGACTTTCTCGCATTTTTGATCTATAAATAAAAATCTGTCATTCAAGGTCTCTTCAATCGAACCAGCAAATATCACAACTCGTAAAATCTTCACTATCAAATATATCTGTAACGTCGACCGCAGCAGTTAAGCTCGCCTAAATATGTGCGGAGCTTTCGTGTAAGCTCTGACTCTG